ATTAACACATTTACTGAATGTTTGTTAAGAAAACAGATTGTAAATAAACAGAATAATAAAAAAAAATACGGTAGAAGTGAACTGTTCGCGCAAGGTTTCTAGAATTTCTACAGCAGTGGCGAGGAAGACTACTTGCATCACAGCTTTAACTAGATGGGCCACCTGTGGAAGCGAACTTCGCGTGCTATTAGACGTGGGATCAACGAACACATGCCAACGTTTTAACCCGAGTCATCCAAATAAATGTCACGATTCTTATTAAGACCATTCTGTGTGAAACGTTTACCATGATGACTTCTCTTTCTAGTATCTATTCCATCTTTCGTGTAATAATCATCTCGCCGTTTTTGACAAATATCTCTGCGACCACTTTCAGTATCCCTCTTGTAGAAAAAGTAAACATTTCCGTTGTGTTAATTCAATTTTAACAAGCCGTGCGCAAAATAAGTTTTTTTGGGCTTGTTTCTAGTGTACAAAATAGCTATTTTTCACAGTGTGTGAAACAGCGAAGCGTGTGCGAAACATCTGTAACTATTCGCAATTGTCTTTCGTCTTGACAACGTCTTTGTTTATTATTTGCAAACAATAGTGTTACGACCCTGACTGGAATCCATTTACTTTTGTACAAGTAAGGTATTTTTAGTAATACATATATATATATATATATATATATATATATATATACATATACATATACATATACATATACATATACATATACATATACATATACATATACATATACATATGCCGTTTAAAGGAAAATAAGGAATAAATAAATCTTACCGTAAATTGTGATTGTTAAAGAGAAGAAAAAGCCAAAAATGTAACATTTAGAAACAGTTTATAAAAATCACTATAAAATAACGCAAACGATTTGAAGTTGCTGGGAAGGTAAGGACAGAATTGAACATTGACACGAGCCATTCTAACTCAGATATCTAAGAAGGACCTTTCAACAAGTCGTAATCTGGCCTGATTTTTTTCTATTGAAAAATATTCATTCTTTATATGTAGTGTGAAACAAATTAACTCCCATCGCGCTCTGGAAGTTACTGGAAAAAATAAAGAACTTGATCACGAATGGTTTGGAACGACTCACGTAGTGCAATCATTGCTAGCTTGAATCTCTATTGACCGATTATATCTTTTAGCTGGCTCAGGGGAAAACAGGAGTTCATTTCAGGGAACATTGTGTCCCGGTATATCAGGCACGTCAAACCGCTCTCGCACGAGCTACTTTCCCACCTGAGGAGCCCTGCACTCTTACGGGTAAGGGCAACTTCCCCTGACTCTGCACTCATTAAACCCTTAAAATCCAGATAGGAGTGTACATGCGCAAGTTGAAGCGGCGAAAAGTGGCTTTATACACGTTTCCCGGATTTTTTCTATCAAATAACCGAGAGTTGCATTATGTTTATATTCTTCACTACTTATTAGTACTTCATGATTATTTTCTTATTAAATTCTCTTTTATAATAACATCTTTGCTAAGTGACAAAAAATGTTTGCACATCAATTCTTTCCTTGTTATCATTTTTGTGTTGTGTTATTAAATCATTCAATTGTTTATTGTATTTGGCAATAATGTAAAAAAAATTAAAAAGTCTTTATACGTTAATAATTCTCTCTCACGGACGGACAGCACTTTTAACAGACAAAATATTTGTCTGTTAAACCTCCTAACCTGATCGTAGAATATTCATGGTTTTATTTTACTCTTAATTAAACAGAATTACAAAATAAAGATACTTTAGTTTCACATTTTTTAAATTTTACTTCTAATTGAGAATTTGAAATCGAGCTGGTGTATTATTTCATTTTATTGGATCATTTCCTCGCTTTAAAGAGAAAATAGGATCTAATATAGCTAAATTTGGAACAATCAAATATCTTCTCCCTTCTCCCAAGGGCCAGTGACGTACGCCATCCAGTGACGTACCACCCTCCCGGACAATTTGTACAACCCTTACTTTTAAATCTAGCGCCAATTCTGTGAACGCAGTGCTCGCGAGCTCTAGTACACCTATTACAGTGCCTGCGACCTTGACATATCTGGGGTATACTAACTTTCTGAATTTGTTTTGTTTATTCTTCAGTTAAGTTACTAGGATTTAATCGCAATTAATACGACAAACGATAATTTTATACAATTAATCCTCACAGTTAAATCGATTGATTAGTGATTCCAGGCAGGTCAAATGCAAAGGTAATTAGTCATGTAAGTGTAGTGCACGTTTTATCGCAGGGGGTGTGATCATCTACGTCTGGATGATGAGATCCGGCGCCGGGATGGGGAGAACAGTTTGTGTCATGAACAACCTCTCCCAGTAATTAAATCTATTACTTTAAGCCGTATAATCAACACATCAATTAAAATTTATGTTCATACAGTTCAATTAACTCAACTGAATTCTAATTATAAAAAATTGAATGTTATATTTAGATTTAATTTGAAAAATTCCCACCATTTCGACCCAAATCTTGCTTCATTGTAAACACCAATTGACAGTACACTACAGTAAAATCTGTCTAAACCGGAACCTGTGAAAGCCGGAATCCTGCCTTAACTGGAAAATGTATTTGGCTCGTGAACTTACATGGTATTTTACACGGCATAAAACGGAAATGTCCAACGCGGAAACGGAACGCCTTTTCATGTCTTATATGGGGGGAGAATTTTTATAAAACAGAATTCCTGAAAATGTAATTACCCATTGACAGAGAAGCGAGATATTGTTAATGTAAGGAATGCATCTGCATCCGCAAGCAGTTTTCAGTCATTAGACAGTGAGGTGGTGTGTATTTTTAGGAGTTTCACAATGCGAAAACCATAAAACTCACACGTTCTCTAACATTAGATGAAAAAATCAAACTAATGGAAGCAAGAGAAGCTCAAAAGTTGTCAATGAAGAATGTGTAATATTCATTTATTGGTGATTTCTTTCATAAATACGTTATATATAAATATTTTTAATAATAATAAAATCATGTAATTTTTATTTTAATTCCTTCTGTATTTACGATAATATACTAATATCAGAACAGAAATATCAATATCACTAGTGTCGTTAAATGGGCAACCCGGCATAAAACGGAAACGTCCCTAAACCGGAACTGTGTATGTAAGGGGTGAGGATAGGACAAGGAAAAGGAAAATGACGCACACGGTCCGTGTCACGTTTGTTAGGTACTGCTCCGGCATTCGCCTGGTGTTGGTCAAAGAATCAACGTAAAACTACCGGCCAGAGCAGCTAGCCGCTAGGATTCTCCTCTATACAGCATCTGAACTCGACCTAGCTACGAAGCTAGTGTCGACCAACCTGACACCGGACTCGAACCCTAGGACCTCCCGTTCAGAGGCACTTCAGTGACATCACTTGATGCCCTGGGCCAACTCTGCCGGGGCTGGTTTGAATTTTGATCCCGGGAGTGCAAATTAATTCCAATATTTTGAAGACAATTTTTTTTTTGTAAAAACTGGATGTGTTATTCTACATGAAATTCAACATAGAGCTTAAGGATTTTGGAAACGGTAGTTTCTGAGCAGCCTGAACATTTCCTCTAAATCGTATACGATGATGAATTTATTACATTTTGAACTACTTAACAGATGGACGAAGGGGTCTCAATTTGGGTCCCTTATGAAGTTCTCCGTATATCCATCTGTACCTGCCTTTGTGTTTCTTTCCCTTCTCGTCGTTTTGTTCCTACACCACATAACTAACAGTGTAATTGTCTCTGTTACAGGTATTTGGAGCTGCAATCAAGCGGGCGTAAAGATGAGATCCGGCTCCACTACACGTCCCAACATGACTCCATGGTGCATGTGGAGACGTTCCCCTACCGCCTAGCGGACAACGCTTGGCACAAAGTGGCTGTGTCTGTGAGCGGCGCGCAGGTCGAACTGCTCGTGGACTGCCACACGCTCTACCGCCGACTCATTCGGCCTCCGGACCGCAACTTCACGGTCCCGCAGCTCACGTTGTGGGTGGGCCAACGCAACAACAAGCATTCCCTCTTCAAGGTTCGTCCAATGTTTTCTCATTACTGTATCTATCGAACAAGGATCAAAAAAGCAAGCACCAGAGAACTCAAACAAATCGAGACCTGACAAATGTAGTCTACCGCTGTCATGTCCTTTAATGATTTTTACTTTCCCGTATACGTTCGTGTATAAGGAGTATTATGTAATGCTGCGGAATTTCGACGGAAATACACAAATTGGGGTCCCCTGATACAGAAAAAGTGTTTATTTTTCTGAAACCTCTGTCAAAACGTCTGCAAACACCACTTGGGCCTAAACCATTCGTAGAAATTTTTTTTTCCAAATTGAAGAAACTGTGTCTATCTGACTCGAGACGAAGCTTTGAGATTTTGAAAACATTATTTAAGACTTGTGAATACTTCACATAAAGCCCACGGAAATTTTCAAAATTTTCCCAAAAACGGCTTCAATTTTTTTCTTTATACTTTTTGTGAGAACAGAATAAAATACTCTTATAAAGGTGGCATATGTCCGATTATCAGGTTTAACACTGAATTTTCAAAATTTTCAAATTTTTTTGGGCGTATTACTACAACAAAATTGAAGATTAAGATTTTCCTTCAAATAAAACTTGTTCACCATAGTGAGTTTTTCATTAAGGTCAGATTCATTTTTTGAAAATTTTAGCTGTTTTCGCGCATTATTGCGAGCAATAAGTGAAATTTTAAAAAATTACAAAAACAAGATTTTCCGAAAAACGGCTCGAAATTTTTCTTTAACTTTTTGGCAGTACTTTATAAGATGACATAAATAGTCATATTGCTCTATTCTTTTGGTTTTTGAAAAATTACAAACATTTATTTTTTGACTTCTCTCGCATCGTTAATATTTATATTAGCGGCAATTCGTTCCCATTATTGTGTTTATGAGTACATTTGCTTTAAAAATGCCAGATAAAGTTTCTCGAAAATTTAACTGTCTGTGAAAACTTGCTCAAAATTCCGCATTTTCAGAAACGCCCAAACGCCATTTTCTCAAAAACAGCTCTAAGTCTGTTCATCAAACTTTTCGCAGAGTAGTGCTAATTGCACTGTATAATGTGACGTAAAGTTCATTTTGATGTATTTTTTCTTCAAAAATTACACAAATGTAATGTTTTTGAAAGATCACTCACGCCGTTAAAATGCACATCTCCAGAAATTTGTAAATGCCATTGTATTTGTGAGTTCAAGTGCTTCAAATGACGTTTTCGAAAACTCAAAGGGATCTGTGAAAAATAGCTTCAAATTTCGAACTTACAGCGCTTAAGCACCAGTTTCTTAACATTTTAAAGAAAATTTCAATTTCGGAAGAGATATTTCTGTTATTTAATATTCATAAAATAATATTTCCGTTATATTATTAGGACACGGAAAAATGAAGAATATTTAAAAAAATTACTTTGGGAGGTGATAGAATAGTATGTGGGAAGTGCGTGTAGAAAGCCGAGATCAAAGAAAAATAAAACTAATAGGGGAAAGTCTGTCTCATTCTGAAGCACCACTACTTTTCTTTGTCGTGCATTGGGTGAGGATGAGTTTCGGAAGATTGATAAACCCAAAAAATGCACTATTGGTTTTGCTTTCCCAGTAAGGAGTATCATAGTTAATTAATTGTATTCTTTGTCATTCGTATGTTGGATTGGATAAATTTGGAGCGAATAAGAAAGGCGCAGGAAGAGGATTAGGAGAAGAATTGCTACAGAGAACTCAATTTTGTAAATAGTAGTAATTTTTCCAATGATTAAATGTGATTAGTGTAAAGGACTTTGTATCTTTCCGTTTTCTTTAAATTGATCCAGCATTTTTTCTATGACTTTTCTAATAATATATCACATTTTAAAGGAACTAATTTTAATGTTTAAGTAATTTGTCTGGTAAATAAACACTCGACATTCCCTCTACCCTTTTCTGCTTTTTTATTGATTCAGTAATATTATGCATGTTTATGTCGCTTTGTATTTAGACAAGGTCAACAATTCTACAACAACGTTTATTTTCGAATATTTACAATTGGTAGACCGTCAGCCAGAAAGACAGGTGTTATTTCTTCCAATTTAAACAAATTAAGTTCAGTATTAAAAGACACAGTACCCATTAATCAGGAGAATGCACTACAGAAAGTCTTCAGACGCAAACTAAATACATTACACAGATACAAGGCGATGAGCCGCTTTAGGATGACGCGCTGCAATGTTGCAATCGCTTATCCACACTCCTATTCGTCGGAGGCGGAGGATGACCTCCCTTCCCTGCAGACGTGCTGTCGTCTTCTCTTAAGAGGTGGTCTTTACTCCCTGCCTGGATGGCGGGTTCTTCTGTAACGAAACCCTCTCCTTCTGATAGAGCCGCGCACGGCGCGATTTCCAAGCTGACCTCCCACGGGGCGACACTCCCCCACTAGCCACTGACCGTTGCAACTTCCTTGTCGTTGGAACTGATGGCGTCTGCTGCTCGGATTATGGTGACTGCTATGGATCTGCACGCAAATATATTCTATAATGTAAAGCTTTACATTCTATCTTTTTGCTAATATACTTTTTGAACGTCTTACGGAGCTGATTATGATATCTATTGTTATATGTTTTGTTTTCTAGCTGTACTGTATATGTTATATCCCCCTTTACTCCAAGCCACGTTAAGGTCGCGAGCAAGGTAACTATTCGTATCAGCTTGAGTTCGCGGGCACTACGTCCAGAGCAACTGAGCGAGATCTAAAAGTAAGGGTGTACAAAACGCTGAAAAGAAGTAATTAGATACCAGGTACATGACAGTCTTTTGGAGAAGTCATGTGATAGTAATTGCCCCTAAAGCGATATTAATTTCCACTTCATATACTTACGCAAATAAAAGGTCCGTTAAAATGAAATAATACATCAGTCACATTTACAATTGTCGATTGAGTAAAATTAAACATTTTTACCTTAATGATTTTGATTTAGAAACAGTTGTGTTGTTTGTAATTGTTTGTTGTGTAGTAATTGTTTATGTAAGAGTGAAAAACTGCATTAACTTGCTACTTGTACGTTCAGAAAAGGAGGTATAAAAATTAAAGATTCAAACATGTAGAAAGAACTATTCGTTCGTAAGCGGGAATTGTTTTCAGAGACTTGTTAATGCATTTCACATTATAGATTTATATAACAAATGGCTGAATAAATAAGTAAAGCACAAGAATATATATATATATATATATATATATATATATATATATATATATATATATATATATATTTCTAATATGGTTCGTAACACTTTCTTCATCAGCGAACTGTGAAATTTGTTCCGACAAAACGAGTTTGGCTGCATCACAAGGACTAGTCCAACCCCTGTGAAGTGTCCTAAACCTTATCCCAATCCTAACTCCTTCCGTATTCTGGCCGCTGGGTAGTGACGCAGGAGCGCGTAAGAGAGATGCATACGCGGAGATGCTACCTGGCGGTGCTTTTGACAACTGACTGAGACGAGACGTGACGGACAAAGTTAAGAAATAATGGAAGATTACTCCCGCGCAGAAATTAATGGATGCCTATTCCAAAAAGCGCGAAGCGCTTAACAAGCTCCCAAAGGGCTTGGAGACGCGTTGCGTCTATGTAGACGCAACAAATTAATAAAAAATAAAAATAACTCGGTGCAATAACCCTCAATGCGTCTTGTGCTTGCAGCAAAATTACTCGTACATCCCTTGAACCGCTATCTGTTTCTGAACTTCGCCCACTGCTTCGCTGCTGGCCGAGCTCGATGTCTTTGTAGGTTTCCCTTGCTACTGGCCTCGCTTCAATAGGGAATTCTTCCAGCTCTTTCGTCCCTCATAGCTCGTCGCTGAGGTCCATGGCTTCTTCTGTATCATACTTTTTCTTTTTACTAAGATTCGACTTTGTGCCCCAATTTACTGAGTTTCGGGTTAAGTATTTAAATAGTTCGTGGATATAATAATTGTTAAATAGATCCACTAAGTAGCACCGAGAAACACAACGAACGAAACATGCATTATTGAAATCTTGGGACGAGCTGAATATTTATTTTAGGCGCAGTGCCAGTTTATCCAGTACAAAATGAGTTTTATCGTTGTTCGCAATCGAAAGTTGGAGACTTGCCAATATAGCTGGAGATTGTTTCCATATTCTTCTCAGGGACAAATCGTTACGCGGCGATGTTGCGTATGCTCTAACTTCGCGCTAGTCAGACATCGGAATGACTCAACAATCAATTGAATATAAAATAAACATTATTAATAAATACATTTTCTTTAATACACGGTACAAATATTTGGTATACCTATAGAAGCACGATGTTTGAAAGTATATGTAACATTCACTTGAGTATTATTCCTGTTATTATTTGAGAAATACTCTATTAATATTATTCTTCCAAATATTATTTTTCTCGTCATTACATTCAGTTGTAGACTACGATATTTAAACCTTCTTGCTATTTGGGCTGAAATATTCTTTAAATATTCCTATCCTTAAATATTTGCTCCATGAATAATCTGACAAATGTTGAAAACAAAATTGTTCAGCAAACCAAAATATTCAGACATCCTATGAGTATTAGATTTATTCTTCCAGCATGAATAAACACACAACACAACTTTTGTGTTAATCATCGATCTCGAATCATTTTCACAAGTGAATAAATCAGCCAACTCAACTTCTTTTGCCCATCAACGTCGATCAGTCTACGTCCTGTACGAGCATGCACAGAAGTTCCTTATGTTCTCCTTTCTCCATCTTTTATTCTCTTGCTCTGCATTTCATATATCGCCTTTAATCTTCTCGTCTTCTCTGGCCTCTAAAAACCCACGCATTCGTTTGCTTCACGCTTCTCGCGTTATAATTTAAATGTTAATTACCAATTGAGGATGGGCAACAATACAATTTTTCTCAAATTTACGCTTAGTCTGTAGAATGCCATTAAAATTATCGCATACTTTTCTTAAATCATTCAGTATTTCGTCTGGAAAAGGAATCTCATTAGAAATAATACAGTATATGATGCTTTAAAATATTACTTTCAAAACTTGCAAGGCTTGCAAAACGAGCTCTCTCGGAATGTCAAGGCAGTTACAGCGGGTACCAAATCAGCGGCTTAATTCGGAGAGTCGACGTGTACGAAACCAACTTCCAATTTGAGCTTTAAAATTTCCTCAGTATTGTTGCATACATTCCTGGTTCATCACCATCATTACAGATTATATATTCGTAGCGCAGCTGCCATTATTATTATTATTATTATTATTATTATTATTATTATTATTATTATTATTATTATTATTATTAAGATCTCTGAATTCATGACTTTAGATATTAGGCGTCGGTAAACCACTTTTTTCACTACACTGAATCTCTGAAATTGTATCTTCATATTACATTCGCATTTCGTCTATTTGATCTCGTTAAAATAGCCACATTGCTGATCCAAAATTATTGTCATGGTTGCCAATTTCTTTGCATTCTACTTGCCAAATCATCAGCTCTCAATCACACAAAAATATACGTTTGTTAATACTTACAAACTTTTTACAGAGTGTTATAAGACAAAATATTTAGAGCGATGATTTACTGTACGATCGATTTTTTTGTTTTTGTTTTTTTAGATTAAAAGGTCTTAGTGTGTTCTTCATACGCTTGCAAGAAACTCTTGGCTTTTCTGGCTACGTTCTGGATGTTAAAAGTATCCTTACTAGAAAGAGGATTTTTATTATTTTTGAATACTTCGTGTCTATTGCTTCAGGGCAGAGCTAAATTTCTTAACATTTGGTTGGAATTTCTATATGCCCCAGAAATTTGTAGCATTTATTTGTGAGCTTTAATTGATTACAAAGAGCTTGTCGCAGATGACTTTTTTCTATAGATGATAAAATACATGTACAATTGTAAGATATTTCTCGATATAACATTTTTTAAACCAGACGGAAGAAATACAACAGTTCATACAATGTACTTCACTAAAGAGCATATTTATTTCAATTATTTCTCCTGCGAAGTTAAGTAGCTTATATTATATTTGCACAAAAATATATCTAAATTTTCCAAGCATTCTTCTTTTCAATTTTATCAAGAAAGGTTTATACAGGAAAAGAAATATTGTTAATATTTATAGCCTATTAAAGTGCATACTTCAGAATTTTTAGGTTATAAATACATATTTTGAAAGGCATATTTTAAATTTCTAGGGCATACAATCCTTTCCCGAATTATTACTAAACGCGCCCCTACTCCTTTCAATTCAGTTCAAAGTATTCTTCATTCCTTCCTTCGCTTCCTTCCTTCCTTCTTTCTTTCCTTCCATTTAGGCCCCCTTTTCCATTGAACCTTTTTTACATAAGACTAATTAACATAAGAAATTTAATAAAACAGACTACAAGGAGATTGAAATTATAAGTTTAATGATTAAACTAATAAAACCAATTGATTTTATGTTGAACCCTTTATGGGGTTGCCAGATGCTATGGAAAGCTTCTTCCCCACTCGTGTATCAGTTCCCTGAATTGTCATCTTAAAAAATAAGAATATAAGGAATTGAACATATTTACGAAAATAAAATATTTTATAGTTCCCTTTCCAAAATTGTCAAGGGGTCCAGTTCTCCTCCCGTTCGCACGCCTATATTTATTGCGATCAGCTATGCAGTTATTATTATTCCTTGTCGAAAATGCTAATTATATAAAAACTCGACTTCTCAATCAAGGGGTTTTCCGAAAACGTTAAATAAATAAGAAGCCACTGTCAATCTTCTTGCACGGAGGTATTATGGTACTGAAATGGGAAAATTCTTATCCGATTTATTGAACTTTGCGATGAGCTTCTGGTATTTTAATAGGATATACAACCATATCTAACACAAATGCTAATTCTATTCGCAATCAACAGTGGCTTATATGCATTTTTTCGCGGACATATTCAATAAGATTAGAGAAGTTTCTATATTTTTGCAAGGACAATGTACAATCATGAACTCCGAGAGTGGCAAAACAACATCAACTTAAAAAGACAACTTGTAAATGAAGGAATATTTAAATAATTTTTTTCATTCGGCCAAATTTTTAGGCAAAAAATTGATTGTTAATCAAACACGACGAACAAGTAAAACATTTCTGAGAAGTAAGCGCACTTCGTCGAATCTCTAGCTATGTACTTTTCGGACATAGAGAAGCATACAATGAATATAAACAAATGTTTCTTTCTAAAAGAACCTCACAGAAATACGATACAGAATATGAACATCTTTTCGAATTTAAGGTTTCATTTAGTTCAAAAATGGAATTTGATCACATACCATTAAATTAATTTTGGGCAGCCCTGACAGATGAATACCGGTTAATAGACGAATAGGTTTTCCGATATCTTTTCCCTTTCGCATCCATTAACAGATGTGTTGCAACTTATTCCTACAAAGCTTTGCTGTTTACTCCTACAAACACAAAGATGGATGCTGCTTCAGACTAATACCTTTAGCTGTCGGACATGTAGTAATTTTAACGCAATTTTAAGAAATAAAATGAAACAATTTCATTAATCACATTACTTGCAAAACTGACATGTTTTATTTTTTTAAAAGGGTTATTTAATGGACTATTTTTAAAAAATCTGCATATTTTAAATGTTTTATTTTTATTTCCCAAATCACTACGTTATGCAAAACAATAAAATACTAAGATGCCTGAAAAAATTGATGTTATAGACTAAAAGTTACAGCTTACAAACTTGGTTCGAGTTTCATGGAAGGCACGTGTCTTCCAAACGGTCACATGACCAAAATGTCTGAGACTCTGTCTCTGTTCTAGGGTAAATAAAGACGGCACTGGACTCAAATTATTTTTTTAATTTGTTTAAATTTATTTCTTCTCGTTCGACCAAAGGTCTTTCGAGGGGTTTCGGCTTTACATACTGACATTTTGGGATTTGGACATTCCTGACAAATTGAGATTAGATACTCTGACTCGTTTAATTCGTTGGTTTGCTTGTAGAAGCAGCTGGGATTTATTTTTGATTTTTTTTTTGAGAGGGGGGTAGGTTGTTAGGATTGCCCTATCGAGCAATAGGAAGGGAACGTGAAAGATTCTATTTAGATACGGGATGATATTATTGGTTTAGGGAGGTTTAAGCATGTCTTTGGGAAATTTGGATTTGATTCGGCTTGGGATGTTTGCTGTTCGACCTAGGTGAAATTTCAGGGCGGAATGAGATGAAGGAAGGGAAGAATAGAAATTATTTGCTACTTTTTTAATGTGTTCGAGCACTGTTTCCATTTGGAGTTCTCTGTGAATTTGTTGGTTAGGTATAAACCATGGAGCTTTAATTGATTTTCTGAGGACTTTATTTTGGACAATTTGCATTTTTTGTATGGTGGTGGAAGCAGCGTTTCCCCACACTGGGCAAGCATAAGTTAGTGTGGGTAGGATAATAGATTTATCAAATTATTTGATACGAGAATTGTAGTTTTTTTTTATGTTTCACATGTTTTCTGGTCCCATAATGCTGCTGAAGAATTCTTGATCTCCTTTTAGTGCTTCATTACTCATTACTTCTAACGTGTAGTTTTAACTTAGTAATATGTTTTCAGTTTTAAAGTAGTTCTCAATACATTTTATCAAAATCTTAACAAATGTAATAAAAATGTAATTTTCATTACGCCTTATTACTTCTAACAGGGTGCTTTGGAGGATGTTCGTCTTATAATGGGTCCTCATGGCTACTTGAAGCAATGTCCGTTACTTGATTCAAGTTGTCCAACATGTGGGCAATTTTCTCTTTTACAAAATACTGTTGAGCAATTAACAAAAAACCTCCGGGAACTTTCTAAACGAGTGAGTATCATTTATTAAGTTTGTCATTCTTGTTTCTTTTTTAATTCTCAACTTGAAACTTTTTTCTTGGTGATTAATGACATATAATATGTAGTTTTATTTCAATTTCAGTTAGAAGCTGCGGAAGGGCGTATTAGTAAAGTAGAAGACTGTGACTGTCAAAAATCCTGCAGAGTGAATGGTTCTGTTCATGCAGATGGTGCTACATGGCAGGAGGATTGTGATATATGTTCCTGTGTGGTAAGCATTAATATCATGTATTATTGTAGTTTCATTGCATTATTCTTCTTGGACATAACTCCATAAAAATACCAAATTTATTCTCATTTTGTTTAATTTTTAATTACTATAAATACAAAAAACAAATGAACTGTCAAACGAAAGAGAATTTCACGGAGAGGTGACGAAGTGCACGTGCACTGTATAAACATTGGAGTCGTACCGCTGCCTTTACGCTGTGCACTTAACAACTATTAAAAATTTGTTAAAAAAAGACATCTAAATCGCCCACATAGCGGTATATAATCTAACTCAACAATCGTGCATAACGCTAAAACGATGCGTGATGAGGCATTTAGAATCTAAAACCTCGGATTCCCCATGTCGTAATCTACAAAACAAGATGACTCGGCGCTTATTATATCTTTAGGAGTTCGGTTTTTCTGGGTACATACACGAGCGTGTCCGGAGATGTTCATAATCTCAAATTGTAGGTGAAATTATAATATTTCATATTCTGTCCACTGGTCGACCTGTTTTTACCGCCGCTTGTCTAACTGAATTTCCCGGCACCTTAGTATCTTCATTGCGTCCCTTTCCAGACCGCCGCAGACCTCACCGCGTTCTTCGACGGGAGTTGTCTGAGCAGGGGAAAGGCAAGGACAAGGAAAGGGCAATATTTGCAGGGGGAGGAAACCAAACAATGACGATGCTCGAGAAAAATGGACAGACACGCTCTCCCAAAGTGCTCAATTAAATATTTCTTAAGAGTTATCAATAAAATGTTTAAGTCTTGTATAACATAGAACCTTGGTTGTCATCCAGAAATTTGTGTTATAAAATGATTTATTGTGACTTCATTGCATTGTAAATCTGTATGGTACCACTGCAGATACTGAAAAATTTCCTTTGATATGTCAAAAATTCATGATTTTGACGTTCTTGTTATGGAGGTTACAGTGTGTATTAATTAGTCTTTCATTTAAATACTTGGAAAATTAATTGGAGCTCAAAAAGGAGGGAGAATATTGCTCTATAAAATATGCGCAAAAATAAAGGAAATTGTTCAGTATAGAACATTATATATATATATATATATATATATATATATATATATATATATATATATATATATATATATATATATATATACTATATGAAATGTCTATTTATATTTTCTTAGTATATTTTTCCAAGGGTGGGTAGTATCTACCTTACCTTCACCCTACACCACCGCAAGATTACCAAAGTTGTTTAACACGCCATAAGCGAAAAACTGTTTCTCGTTGATTGTTTTCCATTTGCGAATGACCTATTGTTTTGTTCTTACTAATAGCGTGCAAAACAATAGCAACCGTGTGCGAAATATATTTCGCATACTGCGTGTTAAACAATAGTGTACGCAACGCGTGCGCGAGGTGATTCGCGTACTTTGCACGTAGGTTACTATTTTTCTATCTCCATGTGATTCTTTCTCAGTCGGGCTGCAGAGTGATATCGAGTGCGTACAATCATTCCCAGTGCAACTCCGTGTATTTCTGATGTTAGTAATACGCGGTGTGACTCGGGTCAAGTTTGGTATCCTGACGCGTTAAAAACGGGTTCTTATCCGCGTGGCTTTGTTGTCGTAGAGAATGAGAGACATTTATTGCTCCAGACCAGTACTTAAGTTCAGAACTCGAATCAGCTGAGTTGCTTGTAACGTGCCCACACGAAGAAATATACTGTTTACGCCCAGCTGTAAACGCCAGTCACTTTTATTATTTAGGAAATGAAATGACTGAAACTCATCTAACAGCACCTGGTTCATGCCTCCGTCATATTGGGGAGCTTGCCATATATAAATGTGATTGAACTGATATTCGCGTGCGTTTTTTCAGGTTCTTTACTAATCGCTACTATTCTTCATAATCCTTCAGAATTTTTTTACCGAGAATAATTTAATAAATATTTTCTTTGAAATAACTTCCCTTGATTACTTAAAATAAAGCTATAATTCATGAAAACTCGAAAATTCAGAAAAACCCGACAGATTCTCATCACCCTAAGAGTGTACTTTTTCTTTTTACTGTCTCGCCTTTCTACGTATTTACGAAGAAATTTTCAATAGAAAAAATCTCGTATTGTGAAGTCGTGTTTTCCAAAAAATGGATATATCCTGTTACTATATAAAGTTTCTTCCTCCCAATTGTCCCTCTAATTGTTTTCCTGGAACATACCAAAGAATACTTGAAAATCAGAAAGGCCCGTATGTTCTTTATAACTTTCCTAAAGCTGTAAAAATGTCAATAATCAAAATTGTACTTTTGCAATGTTAATTTTTTGTAATTTTAAAAAAATGCAGAGAGGTTGCCAAAAGTGGGACTTGTTTAATTTTTAGCGTCTTTATCCGATTTTTATTTGAGGAATAATGTAAAAGAATTGTAGCCGATTTTGAGAAAATCATTGTTTTAAAATTGCCTATACTTAAGTAAATTACGCAAACACTATTCATATTTTCGGAAGAATATGTATTCTTATTTCAAGATATGTCTTCAAAGAACAGATTTCATTGACAATCTAATAACTATCTTCAATATTATAGTTCTTGGAATACACTGAAAACTTTTGAGCTTTTGAAATTTTCAAAAATTCAGAAATTTCAACGAAAATGGGATCTGCGCCATTTCTTAAAGCGACGCTATCCCAGACAGAAGTTTATTAATAAAATTTGGAGACATGTTTAGAAAATTTTGAAACTGTTGAAGCCTGGCCTTCATTTCGGCCAGATCGACAGGGAGTACGTATTTTGGATAAATTCGTTTCCACATATTAGGCGCTTGCATTGAGTACAGACAAACGCGGGGACTGATGCTTTGTCGTCAACCAATTTTTCGGAATCAAGAAATCACAAAACAACAATCAAGAAATCACAACAATCAACGTGTTAGAGGAAGTAATTTACTAAATGTAGGAATAATATTTATCCATTTTCTTTAGCAGGATTCCACAATACGAGTTTTTTGACAAAAAGTTATTTTTGCCGCAGCATTTCAGTACTTTCTCTTTTACACTTGGTAACTTAGTCCCTGGTAAGGTAAGTAAATATAGATGATAGGGCCTTCCGTGGCCCGAGGTTGAAGCGCTTTCCCTTTAGGTTGCCCCGGAGTTACTATTTTGGGCTGCGCCTCACGCCATAAAACCAGGATAATGATGCAGTTAATACAAGAAAACACACAGGCTGAAATAATTCAACATAACTATGGGGAAGTTTAAAATGGAAAAGGTCATGTGATCTCGACCTACATAAGATGTAACATTAATCTACTTACACTTTGCTCGTACACTTATATCAACACTTTCAAAAGCACATCACGGTCAATCCTTTTGAATTTTTCTACAAGCGAATGAAGATGTGTAAGATACTTTAAAGCAAAATATTTCCGTATTAATCTGCAACGTTAAACTATCTAAAATGCGATATCGACTAGAGTGATAACAGTTAATGTCCAGTCAAATATCATAACAAATTATTGGAAATTACCTTAAAAGCTAGTTGCATCTGAAAGAAGGAATCGAAATAAAATAAATTTTGGAGCGAAGGTAGACGATGCCAATGGTATTGATCAAAAGTGTGAGGTGAATATTATATACTGATCTTTCGGATACAAAGACTCGTCGAATGTTCTTATGGGTGGATATTGTCTCATTCGTAGAATAGTGGAATATTTTGGACCCCTGTACAACAATCCACTTGTAATTGGTATTGTAAAGGAAATAATCTCCACAAAGTTTTAATAATTTTATTAACAATTTTCCAGAGTTAACTTTCGGGAAAAAGTGTTCCCATCCCGAAAGTTAACTCTGGAAAATTGTTAATAAAATTATTAAAACTTTGTGGAGATTATTTCCTTTACAATACCATGGATTACCACAAGATATCCGCTACCACCACGGAATCCACTTGTAATTATCTGCTGTGCCACGTTTGGTGCATGCCTCATATGTACTTCTATGTTAAAAGCATAATCTTTGAGCATGAGCACTTTCATCGAAGTATGTAATAGTACCAAAAAAGAACGTCTTTCATCTATTAAAAATATAGAGATAACGTACTATTTTTTCATTCATTCTTAGCATTGATAACTTCTAATTCTTAGCAACTAATTGTGGAAGTACACGTGTGGACGTCTCGACTGCTATGGTCATTAGTTTCATATTTAGTTTCATCCTGGAAAGATTAGATTCAGATTTTAGATGTTACGCTGCTCATTTTATTAATTTCAGAGTTTAGTATTTACCTTTCTGATTAAAATGATGTTTTTTGAAATGTGACAAACATCAAGTTTTGATCTCCATTATTTTTTGCACGATATTGGAAACTTGTGGACGAACGCGTCCAGACGTAACTGAGTTCATGCTATCGCATCAACTCATTTCCCTCAGAACCGACTGCCCATAAATAAATCACTTCTTCAAAGGTGTGTTTAGCCGTGAGGCTGGTAATGTCGAGGTATGAGTAGCATGTTAACTCAATGATCCTGAGTTCAAATGCCGGCGCGCAGAATATATATATATATATATATATATATATATATATATATATATATATATTTGCTGATTGGAAAGTCTTTTGTGTGTTTATGAAATAGTATGAATGTGTTGCCGTTACAAATTATGTGAGAAAGTACGTGCTGTTGGAGCACCACTAGTTACACGAACTAAACCGGACAGCCATACTCGGAGGTGCCAATACCAAAGCTATGGCGTGAGGTTGTTGTGAGTACCAGGATTTGTGGCAGCAGTGTCGCAATAAGAAGATGATAATACGAAATTTTACTAAATCGAAACGCAATGAGGGACGAATTTGTGCATCAAATTATCAGGTCACATATTGACAAAAGAAAGTTATTCGCTTACCTACAGAACACTAGCGCATGAGTAGTTTCCAAACAATCAGGGAAATGCCCCGGGTAAGTTACGTTACTGTTCATTTCCGACCACCCGTTTTTTGGCAATACGAATATGTTATCTGTTATCTT